GTACTTGCACAACTTGGCAGAGACTGAGCAGTTCAACCCTCAGCAATTTGAAGTTCATGTTTCTCTTTTTTTAAGTGATATTTTTGTGATGAAGATTGTTTAATAATGCTGCTTCAGAGTGCAAGAAATTGCATCTAAGAGGTGTAATTTTCAAAAAAAAAATTGTGGGGGAGGGCCCCCGGACCCCGCCTAATCAGGGACCTCTTTCCGAACCCACCCCTATATAGTCTATTTTTTCACTATTGTTTGACAAGCATTTTTGTTTTAAAATTTGGGCGAGTACAGATTCCGTTTGGGCGAGTTAACTTATTGACTCACTCGCCCAGTTTGGCGAGAGGTTTTTATTTTAAAGCTCTAACACTAATGGAGTTGAATAATTAAACCATTTTATCACCATGTAAAATCTCTTTCTCACGCTTGCACGCCGCATTATACTTTTATTACTTTTATTTATATAACAATTTGAAATTTAGGAGGACCATCTAAATTTCAAACTAGATGGTCCTGTGGACCATCTCTTTTTTTCTCCTTAAATCTACTCCTGCTGTCATGATGTCTATGTAGTAATTAATGCCATCTTACAATTCTTCTTGTTACTATTTCTCTAAACATCATAGATAACGTCTCAGTGCGTTGGGCCTAAGATAAAATATTGCTTGTTTCCCCTTTACCGTTCGACTCGCCAAAACACCGCTACTCGACACATTTTATTGGCCGACTAAAACAAAACAAAAATTATTTCGTTTCGCCAAAAAAAAAAATTAAATTCGTTCCGCAAAAACATATACACAAAACAGAATATACAATATACATGCACACATCTTGTCAAAACAAAATAAAAAAGATTTTTCACCTACCTACCCAGGGTTCTCCAAGAGCACTTATAGCCTGGCGGGTTTGCCAGGCTATCGTCGACCCCGCCATCCTAAAATGCACCCGCCACTCTAAATATCATAGCCGCCAGGCTAAAATTTGCAAAAAAATGCTAAAACTAGGACCGTAAAGGCAGCCCCGCCATGCTCTAATGAAAAGGCTTGGAAAGCCCTGCTACCTACTTGGTACCCTGAGAGGCGAGTAGGTAAAGGGGAAACAAAATTTTTTTTAAGGGTGGCCTTATTGACTGTGCTCACATTCCAGTTGCACCCTTGACTCAAAGTCACTAAGTACTTATCTCTGACATACATTATGCAAAGATACTGATGACCTTGCATTAACTATGCACACATAGCTTTACGAGTCGTTTGCACTGGTGGTAACTGGTAGACAGAGTGTAAATATAGCATGTGGTCCATCACATGGTTGGGATCATAGACTTTGCACCATCAATTACTTATAGTTATTGCATCGGTAATTGCTTTGCGAGGTTGACATATCTGCGCGCACTGAAGGAGAGCTCGTTCTGGGGTGAAGGAAGCTCAGATTTAGTCCAGGTAAACAGATAAGGGATGGTGTACGTGCAGGGAAGGCGGCTAGAGCTTGCACCACTGATCGTTATCTGCATGAGCTGTAAATGCTCACATTAGCCATCTTGCCCAACACTGGAGCCTAGTGCGTGTGCAGAAGTAGGGTGTGAGCGATAGGCATATCCCGGCGCAAAATATATTGTGTTGAAATTGAGAATCTTTAATTATTGTTATCGTCAAGCGGTCAGCCAGCGTGAGTGACTTACCGTCCATTTTATTATAGATCGGTGCGCCGCCCCCTCCACTCGCTCGATTTCTGTCAACCATGTCCGGTGAGAAGGGAACCATGTACAGACTGAAGGAGGTGAGAGAGCACCAGTCTATGACTTCACTCTGGATCATCATTCACAACAAGGTGTACGACGTGACGAAGTTTGTTGACGAGCATCCTGGAGGCGAGGAGGTGTTGCTGGAGCAAGGTGAGTGGTACTTTGCTAGGAGAAAGTGGGCAGAGAGCTAGTGGGAAGTGGGGAGGGAGAGGGGAAGGAAGGGAGAGAAGCTGAGGATAGAGAGGCTGGGGAGAGAGAGCTAGAGCAAGATAGAGAGAGAAGGCAAGAGAGACAGCGAGAGAGAAGGCAAGCGAAAACGAGAGAGAGCGAGAGTGAGAGGGAGAGAAAGAGAGAGAGAGAGAGTGAGCGAGAGAGAGAGAGAGAGAGAGAGAGAGAGAGTGAGAGAGAGCGAGATTGAGAGAGAGCTAGAGAGAGAGAGAGAGAGAGAGAGAGAGAGAGAGAGAGAGATAGAGAGAGAGCGAAAGCAAGCGAGAGTGAGCGACAGAGAGCGAGAGAGAGAGAGCGAGAGAGAGAGAGAGAGAGAGAGAGAGAGAGTAGGAAGTCGCAGCCCCAGACAGCACAGGCATCAAGTGTCTTACTAACCTCTCTTTTCTTTTGCGCTTTTCATCTCAGCTGGTAAGAACGGCACCGAGTCGTTCGAGGACGTCGGACATTCCAGCGACGCGCGCGAGCTCATGCAGAACTACTGCATCGGCGAACTCGCCGCCGAAGACCGCCCCGAGCAAGACTACCCCGAGAAACGCGCCTACACAGAAGGCGCTCCGCCCGAGCCGTTCTCCATCAGGAGGTGGCTGCTGCCAATCATCATCGCCATCGGCGTCGCTCTGGTCTACAGGCTCGGCGTGACGTACTTTGCCGATAATTAGTGTAGCCGTCCGTGTTTCCCGCCGCAAGAAGGCGCGTATATCCGGAATTCTGGAATATCCGGAAATTTTAGTTGTTAGATGTGGAGCGTGTGAGTGTAGTGTTGAGAGTTGTGTGTTGTTGAAAAGTTTTGTGAAGGAGCGGTAGTAGGGCGGCGCGCATTTCGCGTGCGACGAAGTGAGGCGACGACGAGATTGTGCTAGTTTCTTTTCGCCTACGAGTGGGCGCGGCGTTACATTTGTGAGACGATACCGTGCTGCGACGTGGATGCTTCAGTAACGGGAGCGGATAAACGTGAAGTCGTGAGAGATCCTGCCACACGGGACGAATCGGAAAGACGGCGGCAGTGGCTGCGAACTAACCGTAGGTTACCATCGGGAACCTGAGGTTACCAACGGGAGCCTACCATTAACAACAGGAACCTATCGTTACCAACACTAGTGTCTGGTTACCAACACCAGCCAGAACTTAGCAACAGGAGCCCAGACGGGGTCACCGCGACGAAGAAAAAGGTGTTATGCGGCGCGTCGTGGAGCTAGCGGCGGCGGCTGCCCCGCGCGCGTGCGTCACCGCCGCCCTGCTGCTCACCTGCATCGGTGGCGACGCCCTCGGCAGGTCGCCGTGGGTGGTCGAGCGGCCCGCGCGGCGGGCGGCCGTGGACAGCGCGACCCACGGCGCGGTGGCCCTGCTCGCGTGGACAGTGGCGGCGGCGAGCGGCGACGGGTGGAGGAACGCGGGGAGGCTGGCGGCGCAGGCGGTATCCTGCTGCCTGCTGGCGGTGCTGATAGACCTCGACCATTTCTGGATGGCTGGGTCTCTCTCGCTGAAGGTATAGCGTACTTCTATAGCTATATTCGCATAGGTAGAGCTGAAGGTGACATACTGGCAAGGGACTGGTGGCGGGATGACTCCTGAATGCGGAAGGGCGGTGGGGCACTCCTAAATGCAGACGGGTGCAGGTTTTCATTAGGTTTTTCTTTGCATCGCTGTTGATTAAGCGTAATCGCGGTTGTGGCAGCGTGGTAAAAAAAGCCTATCGAAGATATTATCTGAGAGAGTTTTTCCACCGAGTGATTTCTGCGTGCCACAGCTGTCCGCTTGTCTCTCTCCAGAGTGCGCTGTCATTGCCGACGCGGCCGCCGCTGCACGCGACCACGGCGATCCCCGCCGTGGTGCTGCTGCTGCATCTCTGCATCCGGCTAACGAACGCCGCCTCTCTGCACAGCCTCCCTCTCCTCGTCGCCGTCGCCTGGACAACGCATCACGTGCGCGACGCGACGCGCCGGGGCTTCTGGCTGTGGCCGCTCGGCAGCACGCCGCCGCTTCCCTACTGGCTCTACGTTGCCACGGAGATCTGCATCCCGTACGGCATTCTCGTCGTCAGGACGACGCTGCGCTGTGAGGTTGAGAGTGCTAACCGGGCAAGCATCGTATAGGATGCAAATTCGTGTTGACACCAGAGCTGGATAGTTGCTGTGTTGCAGAGACCTGAGGGTCGGACATTGAATGCAGGTCGTATGGTACATTTTCCTGAATGTGCGAACCAGTGTGGGACGACTTTGGGTTGTTCGTGGCCACGTCATTTTCGGAATTTCGGTGACCATCCTCGAAGATCCGAGAACGAGGAAATTCGCAGAAACATCGGAAAGCGCTTTGTTTCTCAACGGAAAGTTCTAGATGGAGATTCAGCTGAGTGTCTTCCCAGCTTGGAGTGCAGCACTTGTTTCCAACTTGGAAAAGAAGCTCAGCATCTTCTTGATTCGTAGGGCTTCTAGCGTGCCACCAATCGTTAGTGATAATATATATATAATTATCAGATAACCCCTGTTGGTTTGCGTTGAGAATTCATGCAGAATAGGGACCACAAATTTGATTTAATGCTTTTATTGTCTCGGAACAGGATACTTTTAGATTTGTCTGATTCGAAATATAGTTTATCGTTTGATATGATTTGGAGGTGTAGTTGTGTTACATTCCGCGTGCTGCGTGTACATGCATGAATGTAACTGTGCAAGTAGTTGCGATGGTGATAATAAGACATACGTGATAATCGTCTTGATAATGTATGATCGTACGATTCATTCTAGAGTCAGTGAGGATGTGAGAGTTGTGCCCTGTGTGGGTGTGTTAATATCAGGAGTCTATCAATATTGATATCAATATTGATAGACTCCTGTAAATATGCCATCTACACTCGCATCATTGGCGTGTGCTTGTTCACTCGTGATCATTGTATTGCTACATGTGTTACATGCATCGTGCTTGCAGATATCACGATGAAATGCACTATGCTGGTGCTATTCGCTGTAGACTTTTAAACTCTTAAACGTAAATGTCTAAGAGTTTGACTATGTCTACGCTTATCATCCCCACGACAACCACATTGAAATAATTGAATAAACGTGACCAAGTCTAAAAATATGTAGCTGTGGCTACACATGGTGTAAGAATTTGTTTTGCTGTAAACAATAAATTTGTTCAGTGCTGTTGATATTTCTGTTCTAACTGTGATTTTCTTTTGCATTGCCTGAGGCACGTTGTCAGAAAGATGTTATGAGAATATCATTGACAGAAAGGCACTGAAACTACGAGAAAACATAACAGGATAACAGGAACTTCATAATTGGCTGTCAAAGCATAGGTCAAATGCAACTGACTGGATGAAAATCTAACATGAAACTTATTACGATTATATTTTTCGCCATCCCTCGACAGAAATATTATTTATTATTATTATCTCGCCTTTCTTCCATAAACATGCATTTAAAATATTTCACATTCAATTTTTATTGCAAATTATATGTACTGAGTGCATTTTGATGGATGTAACTGCAAAAATCTGTTGAAAGACATTATACACATGCGCACGCACGCACGCACGCACGCATGCATGCACCGTTACGCACGCATACACACACGCGCACACACACACACACACATACGCACACGCGTGCGCGCACACACATGTATCCTTTAGACAAATCACACGCAAGCACGCTATAATTATCTAGTTCGATAATATCAAGAGTAGATAATAACACATTGTGTTATTCATACATGTATTTACTGTGTGTGGTGTATGTATTGATTATTGCTCACACAAAGAAATGCAAAGATGAACTGATTTTTTTAAATAAATAAATTGGAAACCGCACGAACATAAGTTTGTGAAGAGAGGGCGAGTGAACTGAGCATGAACAGACATGATCACATCGTCATCGTCACCTCCATAATCATCACTGGCTCAACTTGTAAATACAATATCTCCAACGAGAGGGCGCGGACTACTGGGCGTCTGCGTCATTCATCGAAACGTTCATTGACCCCATTACGAATTGTAAGCACATATCTAATTATTCTTAGTCTTATATTAGACTATTCCGCGATTTATGTAAACTTAATGCATCACTAGAAGTGTAGTTACAAACTTGTTTCTCCTATTCTAATAGATTAGCCGAAACCGGGTGGGCCAGTGCTGAGTGTGGTTGAGTAGTCTGATTCTGAACCATAGCACAGGCACAGGCACTTGACTTGGGTCTTGGAGTTGCTCAGTTCAACAGTTGGGACAGAGTCAGTAAAAACGGAAAATAATATGAACGCACATTCACAAATACATACCGTACCTCTCAATTGCAGCTCCACTGTTGTGTCACTGTATATCAACTTTCCTTCATAAAAAGTAACGCCGAACGCTCCCGCACTCGCCGCTGCGAGTGTGCTGTGTGACGTGTCGCCATTATATTTATAATGATAATAATATATAAAGTTATATATTATTATTATTATAATGGCGACACAGCACACTCGCAGCGGTGAGTGCGGGAGCGTTTGGCGTTAGTTTTCATGAAGGAAAGTTGATATACAGTGACACAACAGTGGAACTGCAATTGAGAGGTACAGTACTCGTCGGTAGTATTTCACTATTTGTGAATGTGCCGTTTGTGCGTTCATATTATTTTCAGTTTTTACTGACTGTCCCAAGTGCCTGTGGTCTGAACTGTAGTCACTAAGTTTGAGTTTTTTAAGACTGTCAGTACTACAGTAGGGTGGGTACTTTACAGTTTACTGTCTTTACTGTGCTGACCTACTGATAGCCATAGGCGCTTTGTTCCCTATTCCCTGTACTTTCTTTATCACCATCGCATTTTGTATATTTATTATAATTGATTTAATTGGTATTTTCAGCGTTTCCTTGCAGATTTCGACATTTACAATGACAAGAATATTGTTTCTCCTGGCGTGTATAGCAGGTACTCATATTTCATTATTTGGCGCTAGTCTAAAAGACATGACACATGTTAATCCTAACCAAGTCAGTGCTGTTTAGTGTTATTATGAATTCAATTTTAATAGCCGGGCGTGTTTGGCTGATGATTATGCCCTATATTGTCATATCACAGGTGTGGTTCTGTGTTCTATAGTTGTCGCATGGTGCCACTGCCCTCATGGACAAACGAAGATCCATGGATGCAACCTTGAGGATGGGAAGTGCCGTTGCTCCCATGGCTGTGATGCAGAGTTTCGTTTTGCGAACAAGGACGAATGTAAAAACATGAGGGAAGACGGTGAGTAGCACATGTCATGCAATACCTTGACAACATGGTTATAAGACGATGTCAATTCATTGCAAGAACACCCATGTCTGAGTCTTCAAATCAACCATTGTAATAAATCATGACAGATGGCCCCTTCTGAATCTTTATAAAGAAATATCGCATTCAATTCCTTTTTCGCTAATTCCGTGACAATGTTACATGTGCGCTTAACTACCGCACAAGATTCGACACATCCATCCACCTACTTGTGTGCTTGATCGGTTACTGTCAGCTAGAAATTATTCAATGCTGGTCTGATGACGTGTGATTTTTGCCGTGCAGCTATCGAGAATCCGTGTAACACTGAGCGGTGCAAGAATGACGGCTTCTGTGTGCAGTCGTCGCAGGTGAAACATGGGTACAAGTGCGACTGCAGCGGGACTGGTTTCTACGGACGGCACTGCGAGCAATGTGAGTGTCGTATGCCACGCACGTCCGCCTACCTACGCGGGTGTCACACGCGATTGTGTTGGTTCGTGTGTGCATGGGAAGGATGTTAGTGCGTGTTGTACACGCGCGGTGTGTGGTAGCACACATGTGCATGGGTGTGGGGGTGCAAGGGAGGGAAGTCGGTGTGTGTGTGAGTGTGCCTGCCTGCATGCGTGCGTGCGTGCGTGCATGCATGTGTTCAGACAGTCACTTGCTTGGTTCTGAAATTTGCTTTGTCTTGTCTCGTATTTGCTATATAGGAATTGTCAATACAAATGTCATAGATTTTTCAGTAGAGTAATGTTTGTATTTGTTACATTTCAGCTTGCAATTCGGCTACTTTTCATGATGATGAAGAAAATGGGAGTGCCTGTATCCAATTCTGATCAGGACGTGAGATGAAAAGACCCACAAATGCAACTTGCTAGGATTGTAAGATTGTACTAGGGTTGTTAAATCAAAGTTAGTGACTTTGGGCCATACCTGTTCATATATATTATATACATTTCATGATATACAGTAACCTTTAAAGTGATCGTATTTTCAATTCAATTTTTAATAATTCAGGTAGATGATAGGTGTATAAAGCTATATTGATCGTTTTAATTTCAAATGATGTTACTTGATTGAAGGACATTATGGAACAATAATTGTTACTAAATTCCCAACATTTGCTGGATATTCCTCGGATCACTATGCATTCTCTGTCACAAAAAAACCACATGTAGGCATGCTGACAGCTAATTTAGTATTATATTAGGACTTTGTTAGTATTTTTTACGTACATATAAGCATTGTATTTGTATGTGTTTGAATCTCAGTAGTACCGTCCAATACGTGATAACCGGCTTGCATTTCATTTTACTATTAGGTACAATATTTATAATATTGAGTATAATATTATGTAGTTTTTAACCAGTAGATGGCGCTCCCAATCATACAGGGCTCAGCATAATGAGTTTAATCTCGTAAAACTATCCCAACTAATCCCTCAGGTGAAACCCCTAAGGATCGGTCGGCTGGTTTTCCAAACGTAGCATGCTGTGTGTAGGCGGTGCGTGACAATTACTTCTGGTCTTAGTTTACTCTCATCGAATTTTATAGTCTACCTTGTAGCAAATGATGCACGTTTATAATTGTATATTGCATCTATCTATGCAGTTCATGTGAAGCAGACTAGCCTTTCCAGATGTGCAACGTGGTTGTGATTTATCTATAGCAGGGTTTGAGGTGTGTGTTAGTAAAGGTCCCTCCCTGTGTTACTTTCTCATCCCCTTGTGATCCCTAGTGACGCATAGTGCAATTGAAAGTGAAAGGCAATAACACTGTCAACATGAAAATAGCAGAAGTATTTCTGTTTGGGTTTTAATTTAATTACTTTAGCAAATGTATGTGAAACGCCACACACCACCACTCGCACAACCTTGAGTTGAAATCCACTATTACCTGATTTTCAAGATCGGTGAGGTAACATTTGGGACGGATGTGATTAGATTAATGATGGTTGTAGCGTGATCATGCAAATTGTAATTTTAAGAGGTAGTAAGTCGTTCAAGTCGATGCCAAAGAAACTAACAAACCAAAAGAACTGTCTTCCTTGGATCACATTGATTGTTTAGGCTTCCAAATAGTTTTTACCTATCTATTGTGATAAGAACGAACGAGATTATATCTGTTATTGTTTAGCACTGAGACTTTACTACTACGATCAGTGCTAGAATAGCATGCGCTAATTATTTGGTGCAGTTATAAGGCCGGCTACATTAATTTAAGTTTATACTGAAATTTGTATGCGAAACTAGATGTTATTGTAGATGTGTTTGATAGATTTTAAAATAATACAGTTGGTGCTATTAAAACTTTTTATCCTGTGTTATTTGTGTTTATCTTGTGCGATAGATTTTACATTCCACCACCGTTAAACCGTCCGGGCTATCAGACATGCAGGGTCATTGATTACCGAAAACTTTGTAGTCATCTTGTATTTTTCCCCCAATTTTGAAGTACTCTACTTTGTATCGACAGGTGAGGAGGGCAGCTTTTTTGCCGACATACTCTAAAAAAGTGACCGACAGTTACAAAACGTGTTTCGTATGTGCAACGCCGCGTTTTCCCACCCGTGTAATAATTCGGCAATAATTCCTCTTTCGCGTATATCTTGCTTTTTTTCGATAACAGATGGCGCCAAGATCTGGCACATGGAATAGCATATGGCGCGTCCGAAATAGAGTGAGAGCGCGCGGTACAAGCTCCTGGTACAAACAGTTATAGGCGGGAGCGATACTTGTGGGATATATATATATATATATATATATATATATATGCGGCGTAACAAACGTAAACAACTACAGTAGCACTACGACTACAGTGTAGAAAAAATATTACTACACGTACTATTCTACGTAGCATACATATTAACTGTCAACACACCTGCCATCTCTCACAGATTTCATATAGAGCTGATATGTTTACAGTCCGGCCATCTGACCCCACGTAGCTATAAGCTGCACAAAAAAGCTTTAAGGAATCGGTTGCGTGCTGGGGAAGTGTGAACGTGTTCATGTTGATATTAAATGATACGTGTCCATACCTTATGCTTATACGTTTGTGTTGCTAGAAGCAACACTCTTGGATTTCGTGACTTTGCGATTTTTATTGTGGGATTTTGTGATGTTTTTATTGCGTGGGAAAAAATCGTAGCGTGATCCTGTCGATGACATAGTAATGATACCTATGTACCAGATGGTATGATGGGTTTTATCATGGTACTGAGTTCGGTCCTCGCTCAATGATTGGCCTCACACTGACGCCCTCACCCCTCATGGTAGCGATGGAGAGATGAGCGAGGAAGAGATCCCCGCGTCGCCACAGGCCCAAGATTTTAAGTGTTTTTCGTAATTGTCGGCGAAACTAGAACTCGTCTTGTTGTGTCTACTTGCGGTTAAGTACACGCACGCGCATGCGCGGTTGTGCAGGGCAACTCGCAACCTTCTGCGTCATCATGCATATACAAGCCTCCTCGATGTCATCCCAGAGTGGAAACCCTATTATTAAACATGGCGCCTTAATTAGCTCTTGTCCAACCCATTGGTTAAATTAATGTTCACGTAGCAACTCTCTGGTGAGCTTGCGTCTGTCTGGTGGTCGGCCGCCATGTCGGTTCGCGCATGCGCGTGGGGGTGGCGACGGCGTCGCTCCAGGCTGGCTCTCCGACGATTTAGGAATGTGTTATAGATGTGATTTCTCCTGCGTGAGTTTCCTACGGTTGCGTCCACATCTCTCTACTATAAACACGGCGCATCCATTGTTGTTTGGATACGGTCGTATACAAATATTATTTCTGGATTTCTCGGCGGCGATGTGATGATATTTGTCTTTGTGTGTAGATATTTATTTAACCCTCCCATGCGAATTCACCGCCACCGTCGCCGCGGTTTGATAAATTCGACAACTCAGCGTGTAACATTTTTTTCTGCTCCCCTTTCCCACCGTTTCACCGCCCACCCACATACACTTTCGCAACTGTACTATTTTTAGTAGACTTCCCTTGACAGCTATATTTAAAAATACCCTTGGTATATTTCTTTAATAACACGAACTTACGTCTATAGATGGATCGAACATAATCTTGGTAAAAAAAAAACACGAAAGTCCGATATCAAGATAATATTGTATTAATAAATGTTTAGCCCCCCACTGTTTAAAACAACGTGGACCTTCTGGTCTAGTTTTTAGTATGCGTTCCTATACAACAGCAGAGGCTCGGGGCAGAATTATAATCAGTCTACAACTATACATATAAGAGATTACCTATCCCGCAGTAACTAAACAACAATCTTTATATACAAAGCATGTACAATAAATATTACGCGCACGAGCGCGCCACCTATCAGCCAACAGAAGCGCGTCAGTTTTTTCTTTCTCTCCAGAGAATTGTTGACAAGCTGCCGTTAAAAAACGCTCACACTAGAGCACATCATAATTATATATATATATATAGGGCTTCCGTGTATCATCTCCCGATGCACGCACGATTCACAGTGCTAGTCTACGTTTACTATACGTAACTTAGGGAAGAAACAATTCACGAGGCATGATCAGCCAATAGTGTCAATAGTGTGTCATTTTTACGGCGTTGAAAACGGTTCAGGGTTTCAATAAGTTGGGTAATGTTTAATGGTTATATATATATTATATATATATATATATAATATTTGTGTGTGTGTAGTGCCTGTGGTGCGTGTGTGTGTGTGTGTGTGTGTGTGTGTAGTGTGTGTGTGTGTGTGTGTGTGTGTGTGTGTGTGTGTGTGTGTGTGTGCGCGCGTGTGTGTGAGAGAGTTGTGTGTGTGCGTGCGTGCGTGCATCTGTATTAAAACACATACCAACACGACGTGTCGCGTTCGGAATTGTCGTAAAAATCTGTGTTCATAAATAATAAACATCCGCATATCAGTGTCTATAATTATCCTGTGTATACACCCATGCCTGCCGCGCCGGGGACCCGCGCACGTACGCATGCAAGTACCGGCTATAGTTGACAGCATAGACTTCTACTAAAGCTGCTACAGACAGAGAGCAGCAGTAGAAATGGCTCCTTCTCCCGCGCGCGCACCCGCCATATCTGCACAACGCGTGACGAGAGGGTCAGATTGCATCGTCATTGCCTTGATTCCTTTCTGATACGACCTTCGTAAGTTGCTCAGGCGTCTGTGTAGAGAGACACAGTCCGCGCATGCGCACGCCGTTAGCATGAGATATCGTGACGATGAAGAATGCGCGCGCGAAAGTGGGAGAGAGGGGGAGGGAGAGACAGCGAAAGTGGGAGAGAGGGGGAGGGAGAGACAGCGAAAGTGGGAGAG